TGAGAAAACTTGGAAACAACTCGAATGCTGTTTAGCAGAGGACAGGCTAAACAAATTACAACACGTCTGTACAGTGGAGCCTGAAGTAGCAAACGGCGCATGTCTGTAAATATGAACAGGAAAAATATTCATTATACAGTAAGTGAGAAAGACCAGTTGCAGGATGGCACAGGTATGATGATACTGTTTCCATAAAAACTAAAAGTATACCTGTGTCCGTGTGTGCGTGGAAAAACACGAGAGGATAGGTATTAATCTATGACCAGAGTTTGTCAGTGGGAGTTGGGATTATAGGATATTTTCTGTACAGTTCTGTAGAGTTGATTTTTTCTTTTCTTTCTTTTTTCATTGAGACAGAGTCTTGCTCTATCATCCAGGCTAGAGTGCAATTGCGCGATCTTGGCTCACTGCAACCTCTACCTCCTGGGTTTAAATGATTCTCCTGCCTCAGCCTCCCAAGTAGCTGGGATTACAGGCACTTGCCATCATGCCTGGCTAAATTTTGTATTTTTAGTAGAGACAGGGTTTTGCCATGTTGGCCAGGCTGGTCTCAAACTCCTGACCTCTGGTGATCCACCTGCCTCGGCCTCTCAAAGTGCTGAGATTACAGACACGAGTCACTGCGCCCAACCTGAGTTGATTGTTTTTTTGTTTGTTTGTTTGTTTTTTGTTTTTTTTTTTTGAGACGGAGTCTCGCTCTGTCGCCCAGGCTGGAGTGCAGTGGCCGGATCTCAGCGCACTGCAAGCTCCACCTCCCGGGTTTACGCCATTCTCCTGCCTCAGCCTCCCGAGTAGCTGGGACTACAGGCGCCCGCCACCTCGCCTGGCTAAGTTTTCATATTTTTTAGTAGAGACGGGGTTTCACTGTGTCAGCCAGGATGGTCTCGATCTCCTGACCTCGTGATCCGCCCGTCTCGGCCTCCCAAGATTGTGTTTAATAGACATATTAGTCAAAGAAAAATACACAGAAAATAGTGAAATTACGGGAAATATGGTAACTGTCTGACCTTCATCCTAGAAAAACCCTGATCAGTGTCCCTGTATTGCATCCCAGATACCAAAATTGTAATACATTCTTCATCATGCTACTGTCCCAGTGAAAACCCTGAGCATCTCTCATTTCTTCCCTTCCACTCTATCCTGACTAATTTACTGTCCACAATTCACAGAGTATTGTCTCCGCTCTGCACAGCCACAGAATGGGCGTGGTAACCTCTCCATGGCATTTATGGTTTCTACAAATCACAAATCACATAGGAAGGGCTCCGAGAATATTAGAGAAATGAGCAAGTTAACTCAGAGTCTGTGGGGGAGCTGGCAACCCCCCAAGAAAGCTGGACGTCTCCAAGCTGGCCACCAACATTCCATAGCCTCTCCACGACCAGGGTGGGAGCTGTCCTGGATGCACAGTGCCATGTCCACAGGCTGACATGAGGGGCACATTCTAGATCAAGTGCCTGAGAAGGGCTTTGGAGACCTGGATCCTGCCCCTAGACAACTATGGGACCATGTACCAGTCACTTTTCCTTTCTGGGTCCGCGTTTCCACCTCTGTATAAAAGAGTAAGACTTGGTCAGTGTTTCTCAAAGCACTCTCCTTGGAAAACTACGTCTGGGATATGTTATAAATGTCCCTGAAGAGGCTTTTGTGGTAAAATACACTTGAGAAATGCAGCTCTCTGTATCGTGCTCTTGGATTCCCAACACATGTTAGCAGGTTAGCGTCTCCAAGGTCTGGCAGTAAATAAACTTACTTATCGATGCTTATACCATGTTTATTTCACGTTGGCATCCTTTAAAATATTTTTTTCCTGAGCATCTTGGTGATACATGCACTGAATTAAGTGGTATCCACAGTCACTTCTCACTCTTTGAATCCATGACCACGACGAGTCGCTCTCCATGCCACCCCCTCCATGCTGCCTGCCATCATCCTGCAGTGTTCCTGCAGCTGAATGTGGAGTATTTCAGGTGATCCCTGGAAAAACGAAGCTCTGTTTTGTGAGAGAGAATGGGTTAGCCTCTCAGTACAGATCCCAGTGAAATGGGATGAAGGAGAGGTAGCCTAATGACAAAGGAGAGGGTAGGGGAGTCTAAAAGGGTTTGAACTGCAGCCAGGAGCACCCAATGGGGTGGTGCAGTTGGGGGACACTAAGTAGGAATAACATGGAGGGACACTAATAAGCGGAGAACTACAGAGGAATAATTTTCATAATAAGTCTATTAAAAACAGGGAGGCAGGACAAATGATCAGAAGGAAGGAAGGTTCTTGGCACCTGTGCAGTTCACTATCTTATTTGTGGCTGCAACTTCTCTCTTCCCCTGGATTTAAATACCAATTTTATGTTGATGGCTTCCACGTTTGAATATAATCTTTCGAGGAAGAGTATGGGCTTTAGAGTCATACGGCCCATGCCTCAGTTTCTTCCTCTGTAACATGGAGTTAACCATAAGATTTACCTGCTAGGTGTGTGTATGAAGATTAAATGAGTTGACACATGGGAAAGCTCCTAGAATCATAACTAGTGCATAGTAAGCACTCATAAATGACATGATCATGATCAATTGTTATTATTCATGTTTTCAGCTGTCAGTCCTCTCTGGCTTGACACTTCCACTCAGATGTCTCCAGGGCATCTCAGGCTTAACAAAACTGAATCAGAATTCTTGATTTTCCCAACAATACCCCACCTTCTCCAGCCTCCCTGTTTCAGTGAATGGCACCTGATATACCTGTAGCTCAAGTTTGGAACCTGAGGGTCAGGTGTGGTCCTCCTTTCCCCTTCCCTTTCATATGCACCCCACCAGGAACTTCTGCAGAGCACAAGAGTCCACTCCCAAAATATATTTTAAGTCCATCTACTTCTTCCCACCTCCCTCCCTTCTCTAGCCAAGCATCCCTTCTCTCTGGGTGAAGGCAGCAGCCTTCTGTGTGCCCTCCCTGTCTTTCTTCTCACTCCTTTCCAGGGAATCTGCACTTGTGGCCACAGCCTTTTGTAACAAATGTACCTGTGACCATCCTAAGACCTGTAGGGGCACAGAAAAGGAAGCCCATAGCTACCCCTGCTAGTTTTTGGTGTCCATTTGCATGAAATGTCTTTTTCCACCCCTTTCCTTTAAATTTATGTGAGTCCTTATGTGTCAGGTGAGCCTCCAGAAGGCAGCAGATAGTTGGTTGGTGAGTTCTTATCCATTCTGCAGTTCTGTATCTTTTAAGTGGAGCATTTAGGCCATTTACATTCAATGTTAGTATTGAAATGTGAGGTACCATTGTATTCATCAGGCTGTTTGTAGCCTGTGTACTCCTTTGTTAGTTTGTTTTTTGCTTTTGCTTTTTAGCTTGTATTTTTGTTTTACAGGTCCTGTGTGATTTATGCTTTAAAGAGGTTATGTTTTGATGTATTTCCAGGATTTGTTTCAAGATTTAGAGCTCCTTTTACCAGTTCTTGTAGTGGTGGCTTGGTAATGATGAATTCTCTCAGGATTTGTTTGTCTGAAAATGACTATATCTTTTCTTCATATATGATGCTTAGTTTCACTGGATACAAAATTCTTGGCTGATAATTGATTTGTTTGAGATGCTGGAGGACAGGGCCCCAATCCCTTCTAGCTTATAGGGTTTCTGCTGAGAAATCTGCTGTTCATCTGATAGGTTTTCCTTTACAGGTTACCTGTTGCTTTTGTCTCACAGCTCTTAAGATTATTTCCTTTGTCTCAACTTTGGATAACCTGACGACAATGTGCCTGGGCAAAGATCTTTTTGGGATGAATTTCCCATGTGTTCTTTGTGCTTCTCATATTTGGATGTCTAGGTCTCTAGCTAGACTGGGGAACTTTCCCTTGATTATTCCCCCAAATATGTTTTCCAAGCTTTTAGAATTCTCTTCTTCCTCAGGAACACCAATTATTCTTAGGTTTGGTCATTTAACATAATCCCAGACTTCTTGGAGGCTTTGTTCATATTTTCTTATTCTTTTTTCTTTGTCTTTGTTGGATTGGGTTAATTTGAAGACCTTGTCTTTGAGCTCTGAATTTCTTTCTTCTATTTGTTCAATTCTATTGCTGAGACTTTCCAGAGCATTTCACATTTCTAAAAGTGTGTCCAAAGTTTCCTGAATTTTTGATTGTTTTTCTTTAAGCTGTCTAGTTCATTGAATATTTCTCCCATTCAATGGTGGGGGTGTCTATTCCAGAGAGGAGGGCCTACCTTTCCCACTTCTGCAATTGGAGCACTCACAGGATTTGGGGTGTCTCCTGGGTCCTACAGGAGCAGTCTGGTACCTTCAGAGGGTCTGTGGGTCCTCTTGGGATTGCTGGTTTGTTCTTGCAGTTGATCTGGAGCTAAAATTCACCATGGAAGCCTCCAGATGCTGCTCTGTCTGGAGTTGCAATCTAGTCCTGCCACCCATCCACTCTGATCCCCTCCATCTCTCTGTCTACTTTAATCAGATAAGCTCAAAGCTAGAACAAAGGACCCATATATGAGCCTATGGATCTGCCTTCAGACACTTGAGAAACCCTCCAACTCACCGTGAGAACACTGACCCGAATCGGGATCCCTGCTTGGCTCCAACAGCCAGACACTCAGAGAGATCTCAGACCCAGCAACTAATGGACTTGGTGGGATGGTTGTCCTCAACGCAGCCAGCATTTTTATCAGGATGGCGTCTGATCCTGTATTGTTCTGGGATATTCAGAGTCTCTTGACATGTATCTTCACTTAATTGTGAATTTTAAAAATTATAGATGGATGTAGATATAGATACAGAGATTATAGACATAGATATAGATAGACTTCTCTCTTTGAAGACTTCCTCTCAGAGTACAAGTCCATGGTTACAACCATTTTGTTTCTCAGCAAACATGGAGAAGTCTGCCTTTCCTCTCTGAGGAAGTTAACATAAATGTTTATTGACAGTGCGGTCATCAAGGATTAAAATTGCTGATTCATTCCTTTACACTGAAACCCTTTGTTGTGCCCTCCTCTTCCTTCCTCTTTATGGGAGACACTCTGAGAAAGAGCACATTGTGGGGGCCCACTCCATGTGATGTTTTCTTGATTGCCTGTTCTCTTTTCTACCTGCGGAGCACGGTTCCCATAAGGGCAGCGGGATCAGCCTCCTGTCTCATCTGGAAGACCACCACTCTGGGGTCTCAGAGGAATGATGGAAGCCTTGGGGTTTCTAAAACTGGAAGTGAATGGCCCCATGGTGACGGTGGCCCTGTCAGTGGCTCTCCTGGCCCTTCTGAAGTGGTAAGTGCAGCCAGCCCTAGGGACTGTGACAGCGTCAGCAGTCTCACCCTGGAGCCTTGCTGGTGCCATGGCGGGGTATGCGGGCGTGTGTTTTTCTTCTTTTCTAATCTAGCGGGAGTGAGTATTAGCACAGCTTCAGAATTAAAAGCAAACAGCCAGGTTAATCTTTTGCTAAAATGCATGAGATTGAAGTGTCAGGAAAGGCTGGTGATTCAGTGACTGAGAACGCTACACATAATTAAGTTTGAAAGAGATGGAAAAAGAAACAAATTGGAAAGGCATTAGGTTTGGGTAGAAGTATTTCCTCGAACCCCGTCATATCTCCTCACCTCATTTTTCTAAAATCTTCTGTCCTTGTTGGATTTACAGTGAATTCAGCCTCTTGGTTCATATTACATTCAAAACAAAATAAGACTTAGGAGCTGTTTGGCAAATGTGGGCCTCTTTGCAGGAAGTCATTGAGGGGGATTTCTGTAGGTTTAAGGACAAAGTGGTAGATCTAATTTCTCATATTTGATAGAGGGAGATGGATTCTGATGAACATATTGTGTGCAGTTCCCACAAAATTCGAGACCCTGAAAGGATCTCAAACTTGAACTCCGAGTTGCTCCCCTGTGGTTTTGTTAATTCAACAGCAGATTTTCCTAAGCCTGACTCTGGTGTCTGTAGATCGAAGGCCTCATAATATGCTACATTTATGCATATTCACCCTGCCAGTTAAACTTATTAGAGTTACCCATTCAATCAAAAGCACCTGGATTTAGACGGCTCTGGCTTTTGAGGGCAAAGTGGAAAAAATAATGGAGAACTGGAGTTCGAACAGAATTTTAATTTATGTTTTTGGTAGTAATAAAGCCTTCTCTAGATTAATAACTGGGAAAGCACTTTGAAAAGCATCAAGCATTATGCAAATGTGAGGTATTATTCTTTTGGAATTTGCATAGCTGAGAGTGGAATTCACGTTTGATGTTCTATGATGATGAAATTACTTCTTGGAAATTGGCTCTGAAACCCAGCCTCAGTCCCAGTGCTGTTTTTCTTTTTAACTGGTTTAATTATTTTTTTTGAACTTTTTTATCTCATTGTAGCTTATCTTGGATTGAAACTGGCCACATGTAAAACCAAGAGCAAATGGTAGCCCCTTCCCTGCCCCCAGCCCCCAATAATCCTTCTTAATGTGTTTTTGTGCTCAGAGAAGCCTGAAGCACAGTGTCTGACATGTAGAAAGTGCTTAGTCGATGTCAGCTACTATAATTCACTATCTATCGTCTATGTAACCTAAAAGAATATAAGTCTTTAGTGGTTTAGGTTTATTTTTAATTTCTTACTAACATGCTTATTCATATCAATCTTATCAATAGCTATGCTCTGACTATGGTTCTCAAAGTGGACACTTTTTTACACTTTTGTTTCAGTCTTTGTTGTGTCTGAGCCCCCAGCTCAGTGCCTGGCATATACGAACACTACACCATTCAGCAGGGCAGCTGTGTGTTTGCTGTCTATTCTTGGGCCATATTAATAACCTGGTTCAAAGATGCAGAGATTAAGATAAATGTACCAAGCAGAAGTGGTAAATAGGAAGTGAGAGCTGACTTCTATTTGTTATCGCAAAAATATGTATTAACCTGTTAATGTGTGCCCAATCTTGGGGAGACCTTGGTACAAGGTCAGGGAGCAGGAGATCTGGAGAAGGTGCCCAAGGCAGAGGAGACACAGAGGTTCTGGGGGTGAGCTCGATCTCTAGAGAGGATACTGCAGGAGGAGTGGAGGCAGCAGGAGAGAGGTCGTGGCCCTGGCTCTGGTGCTTTTGGGTCCATCCCTTGATTCAGTGCAAGGGGAACCACCCTTGGGCTTTCAACCCTTCTGTTCCAGGTGAGACCCTAGTCAGCCACTAAGCAACAGCCACCAGCTTGAATGAGGCAAGGCCCCCTTCCTGTTACATTCTCTTGAAAGGATATGTGTGGAAGACACAGGGGTGCTTGTCCTCCAGTGAGAGGATTCACAGGCAAGGAAAGATGCAGGTATAGAGACACTTGCAGGAGAAACTGGCAGGGGGAGTGGGTTAAACACTGCAGCACATTAGTCTTTGCTTTAAGGGCTACATGTGCCATCCAGCCAGGTGAGATGGCAGCGGAGAACCTATACCCTGAGAAGATGAAATCAAATGGGCTGGGTGTGGTGGCTGATGCCTGTAATCCCAGCACTTTGGGAGGCCAAGGCAGACAGATGACTTGAGGTCAGAAGTTCGAGACCAGCCTGGCCAGCATGGTGAAACTCCATCTCTAGTAAAAAATTAGCTGGGCGTGGCAGCAGGTGTCTGTAATCCCAGCTACTTTGGAGACTGAGGCAGGAGAATCACTTGAACCTGGGAGGCAGAGGCTGCAGTAATCTGAGATCATGCCACTGCCCTCCAGCCTGGGTGACAAAGAAAGACTCTCTCTTAAAACAAAACAAAACAAAACAGAAGGATGGAGGGGATCATGGTGGACAGAAGACAGGACTAGATTGCAGCTCCAGACAGAGCAGCATCTGGATGCTTCCATGGTGAATGTTAGCTCCAGATCGACTGCAAGAATAAACCATCAATCCTGAGGGGACCCACAGACCCTCTGAAGGAAGTGGATTGCTCCTGCATGACCCAGGAGACACCCCAGATATTGAGTGCCCCAACTGCAGAGGTGGGAAAGGGAGACCCTCCTCTCCCAACACACTCCCTCAATACTGAATAGGAGAAATATTCTAAAAAATAGATAGCTTAAAGAAAAAAAAAATCAAAAATTCAGGAAACTTTGGACATACTTTTAGAAATGTGAAATGCTTTGGAAAGTCTCAGCAATAGAATTGAACAAGTACAAGAAAGAAATTCAGAGCTCAAAGACAAGGTCTTCGAATTAACCCAATCCAACAAAGACAAAGAAAAAAGAATAAGAAAATATGAACGAAGCCTCCAAGAAGTCCGGGATTATGTTAAATGACCAAACCTAAGAATAATTGGTGTCCCTGAGGAAGAAGAGAATTCTAAAAGCTAAAAGCTTGGAAAACATATTTGGGGGAATAATCAAGGAAAAGTTCCCCAGTCTAGCTAGAGACCTAGACATCCAAATATGAGAAGCACAAAGAACACATGGGAAATTCATCCCAAAAAGGTCTTTGCCTAGGCACATTGTTATCAGGTTATCCAAAGTTGAGACAAAGGAAATAATCTTAAGAGCTGTGAGACAGAAGAACCAGGTAACCTGCAAAGGAAAACCTATCAGATGAACAGCAGATTTCTCAAAAGAATCCCTATAAGCTAGAAGGGACTGGGGCCCTGTCCTCCAGCATCTCAAACAAATCAATCATCAGCCAAGAATTTTGTATCCAGTGAAACTAAGCATCATATATGAAGGAAAGATACAGTCATTTTCAGGCAAACAAATGCTGAAAGAATTGCCATTACTAAACCACCACTACAAGAACTGGTAAAAAGAGCTCTAAATCTTGAAACAAATCCTGGAAACACGTCAAAGCATAACCTCTTTAAAGCATAAATCACACAAGACCTATATAACAAAAATACAAGCTAAAAAGCAAAAGCAAAACAAAAAACAACCACAAAAATCCAAAGTACACAGACAACAAAGAGCCCAGTGAATGCAATGGTACCTCACATTTCAATACTAACATTGAATGTAAATGGCCTAAATGCTCCACTTAAAAGATACAGAACTGCAGAATCGATAAGAACTCACCAACCAACTATCTGCTGCTTTCAGGAGACTCACCTAACACATAAGGACTCACATAAACTTAAAGGGGTGGAAGAAGGCATTTCATGCAAATGGATACCAAAAGGGAGCAGAGGAAGGGTAGCTATTCTTATATCAGACAAAACAAACCATAAAGCAACAGTAGTTAAAGGAGACAAAGAGGCACTGGATGTGGTGGCTTATGCCTGTAATCCCAGCAGTTTGGGTCACAAGGTCAGGAGTTCATGACCAGTGTAGCCAATATAGTGAAACCCAATCTCTACTGAAAAAAAAAAAATTAGCAGGGCATGGTAGTGGGTGCCTGTAGTCCCAGCTACTTGGGAGGTTGAGGCAGGAGAATCACTTGAATCCGGGAGATGGAGGTTGCAGTGAGCTGAAATTACACCACTGCACTCCAGCCTGGGTGACACAGAAAGACTCTTTCTCAAAAAAATAAAAAAAAGAGAGAGACAGAGAGGGACATTATAAAATGGTAAAAGGCCTTGTCCAACAGTAAAATATCACAATCCTAGACATATATGCACCTAACACTGGAGCTTCCAAATTTATAAAACAATTACTAATAGGCCTAAGAAATGTGATAGATAGCAACACAGTAATAGTGGGGAACTTCAATATTCCACCGACAGCACTAGACAGGTTATCAAAACAGAAAGTCAACAAAGAAACAATGGACTTAAACTATACCTTGAAACAGATGGACTTAACCGATATATACAGAACATTTCATCCAACAACTGCAGAATACACATTCTATTCAACATCACATGGAACTTTCTCCAAGATCGACCATATGAGACGCCATAAAATGAGCCTCAATAAATTTAAGAAAATTGAAATTGTGTCAAGCACTCTCTCAGATCATAACAGAATAAAACTGGAAATCACCTCCAAAAGGATCCTTCAAAACCATGCAAACACATGGAAATTATTCAATAACCTGATCCTGAATGAGCATTGGGTAAAAAACAAAATCAAGATGGAAATTTAAAAAATTCTTCTAACTGAATGACAATAATGACACAACCTATCAAAACCTCTGGGATACAGCTAAGATGGTGCTAAGGGGAAGGTTCATAGCCCTAAATGCCTACATCAAAAAGTCTGAAAGAGCACAAACATACAATCTAAGGTCACACCTCAAGGAACTAGAGAAACAGGACCAAACTGAACCCAAACCCAGTAGAAGAAAGGAAATAACCAAGATCAGAGCAGAACTAAATGAAATAGAAACACACACACACACACACA